TGGTGCAATGCATACACTTTCTTTGCAGTCTCCATTCCACTCCGGTCCAATCCAATCCAAACCAAAACATACCAGGCCACACCCCCAATGCTAAGGAATTGGAATCATGTTGTAATCACGATCTGCATGTACTATTACAACAACAAGGAACTACGTCATGTCAAATGCATACATTTTCTAAAACATTCGCCAACTCTATAAGTGCTCTCTCAGGGTGCATTTTTAGATGCTGTTTTGAAATTTAAAGACATTAACTTAGGTTCAATGTTTAATGGATACTGTTGACTGCTAATACAATGTATATAGATATGTTACAAGATACATGCAGAAGGTCATATGTTGACCCTACTATCTATAACAGTAGCATGTATTTGAATTATGGAGTGTAATACTAGCTTTTGTTTTCTTGTTACCATAAACATATTGAAGGGTACGCTAGTCTCCACACGTAGCCACACTGAATGACGTTCCAGAATTTTCCACAACATTCTAGAGGAATTCCAATAATTCACATCTTCAGTTGTAAGACCACTAATGTAGTTATTTATTAATATGTACATAAAGTCATAAACATCTCATATGACAACCAAAATGTGAAAACGCCAAAAAGCAGTTACTCAAGCAACTGGATATGATTTTGAAAACGTCAGACGTTTCAGCTAGTATCCACTAGCTTTCGTCAGTGACTGAGAGACCAGAGGGGAAATGCAGGTTTATAAGCACAACCTTGCATATCAATCAATAGGTTGTGCTTATAAACCTGCATTTCCCCTCTGGTCTCTCAGTCACTGACCAAAGCTAGTGGATACTACCTGAAACGTCTGACGTTTTCAAAATCATATCCAGTTGCTTGAGTAACTGCTTTTTGGCGTATCGTATTACCTGGATGTCTAATCTTCATCGACGCAAAATGTGAAAAGTTTGCTGTTCAGAGGTGATCACTGCTCTTCCTTTCCTACCTGCTAGGTGGAGCTGCACCTGCATCTTGATGGAGCTGTGCGGCCTTCCACACTTCTGGAAGTCGCAAAGTGAGTGTTGGAAAATCATGAAAGTTTGTCAGCTCTTTGATATGGTTAATGTTCACCATATGTTCTGCTTGTAAAAAAAAGTTGCTAAGGCCACACCAATTTAATTTCTTGGTTAACGGATTCGCCTGCTTCATTTTTTTCTGATTTGCAAATAAAAATAAAAATTCAGAATCAACTGCAAAATGCTCATATTTTGCCCTGAACAGTTGTAAACAGTCCTTTTCTTCCTAGTTGTTACAGTTATTCCATCTTTCAATGCAATGGTATCATTAAAAGTTCAAAATTCATAGTTTAAATTTTGAACCAGCCTGGTGTGTTGACTTCATGGCTACTATCTTACCATTTTGGGCCATAATAGGATGCCTAGGCCTGTTTTTATTTTATTTTTTTTTCGCCCGCCCGCTCCATTATTTTTCTAGAAAATCCATTAACCAAGAAATTAAATTGGCGTTGCCTAATATAGAATTCAAAATTAATGTAAGACAAGTTTGTTTTTTTACTTTACTTTTAACTTTTAACTTTTACTTTTTAATATTTTTATGTAATTTGTTGATTTATTCCTACACCACAGGAAAAGAGGAATGCCGTTACCAGCTGACACAGTTGAGGGAATCCTCCCCTATGTCAGTATGGACAAACCAGAAAGCCTGGTAGCCATGATCAAAGTCTTCAAATTCTTCATCCCAATCATTCAGTAAGTGTACAAATGTCTTACAAATATGCAGTCCAACTTGCACAAATGTCCACCTCTATAACTTAATGAGGGACAGATTTTGTGAACTTAATTGGTTTTCCCTTTGCTAGCTTCATTCTAAAGTAGTGTTATTATGTTTACCGAAGGAAAACATATTGTTTTTACTCAGTTTCTTCCTCCTCTTCTGTTCCAAACACTAACCTCTGACCTGGCCAATGGCCTGATTTGTTGATGTCTGTCACCATGGTGACTGGTGTTGGGTTACATAATGTTGCAATTTCATAGTCTGCTCTACTCCTGTCACCATATACTAGTACAAATGTAGTACATGTATGTGAATGTGTTTGAGTAGGAATTAACAGGGCAGACCATGTCCAACGGTAAACATTATGCATTTGCTTTGCAAATGTTACTAGTAGTTTCATTTTTTTTGCAAGATTTATCATACATTGTATTTATGAAGGTTCTCCCCCAAAACACCCCTATGCTGGTTGAAAGACAGCTGCAGCAAAGGTGTCCAAATTACATAGGGGGTCCAAATCACAGCATAGGTGGCCTCAAACGGCCTTGCAATAACACGTACTGATGTAAGCATAAAGGACTTGCCCATGCAAGCCAACCACAATACAATACAGTCTGACAGTATATATGTAACGTATATGTGATATACAGTCAGTGTACTTATAGTATTGAAGGATGTGATCTTTGAAATCTGTGTCTCTGTCTTGTCTTGTCGCCATGTTTTTTGTATAAGACAATACCACTTGGTCGAATGGGAGTTCCATGTACCAAGTGGTCTTCTTAGACTCCTGGAGGTTGTAATACTGACTGTTTGTGTGCATTGTTTTGAACAGAGGAGATGGAGAAACCATCAAGAGGATGGCGTATGAGCTGTGTGAAGACCAGGCCAAACATGGAGTTCTGTACTTTGAGACTAGATACTGTCCACACTTCCTCACTCAGTCTAAACTAGGTAAGACAAAATCTAGACTAATTTCATGTGTTGGAAATGACAGTTTGTACTTGCCTCATAATGACTTCTACCAACACAGATTAGAGATAATTGGTAACATATACTTTGGCATGATAATTACCTCCGGGGGAGGAGACATCCTTCCGCCGAAGGGTTTTGTGAGAGATTTAGATTGTCATGTTCGCAGCTGTTTCTCGCGTTTGGGTGGACGGATTCTTTTGAGATTCGATATACGTTTTGCTATTGGGCTGCAGATGATGCACGTTCTTTTGTTTTTATTGTATATGTGTTTTCGGGCGTGAAAATGGTGCCTTTTGGTGGCCCCAAAACACCCCTTTGAGCGTGAAAGTGGTCACGACCGTTGACCTTTGGCGTGTTTAATCTATTCTCGATCTGGTCCACGTATATGACCCCTCACACAGAGAGGTGTCCGGTCTCGACAAATTCTTTGTTTAAAACCCTATATAAAAATATACAATAAAAAGCCCGGAGGTATAAAATCTCAGATTTTACTTGTTCTTCCTAGAATTAATTGTACCTAGAATTTAGGTACACTGCTCTACTAGCAGAAAGGCTATGGGAGTCTACCTTTACCTTTTTTTCCTAGGTCAGACCATATGGGACTGCCCAGCTCCCCCTACATTCTTCACAAAGACTCAGGCTAGCTCTAGGAGACTGATTAAGAAGCTCTTACTGCATGCCCCTCTGAAGAGATGTGAGTTAGCCGTCAGACGGCAAGAGTTAGTACATGGTTCAAAAAGTGGTTCAGATTTCTTGGTTTTGTTGGTTCCAAGAATATGCTGTTTGCTTCCCTTAAAGTTCTTTTTTGTTAAAAAAAAATGGTGTTTTTATTTTGATTTGTTGGTTCTCGTGATTCAGAAATGTGCTGTTATGAATTTGTTCTCTGGTTCAAAAACGTCCTGTTTTGAACTTGTAGGTTACTCTTTTTTCAGTTTGTCAATTTTTTGTATTGAACATTATGTTTACAATGTCATGCAGTTTTCTAACCAGTTCCATGTTCTTTATTAAACAGAATTCCAGTGACCATCTTTTAAAGTCCCAATGTTGATGTACATGTATGTTTATTGTAAGTTAATAATCCTAATGTTTTCAGTTTTTAGGGACATTGATAAAAGGCTTTTTAGTTAAAACAAGGAGCTTTGAAAATTCTTTTTAAACCTCCTTGGTTAAAAGTAATGCCTGAAATTTGACTAATGCCTCTTGTTTTTGGGTGAGGGTGCAAAGGTTTTAAAGGTCCTTTGTATCTGTGATCTACGTTGCAGTTGACGTTGATTTGTAACTTTTTCTTTCAGATCAAAAGAAGGAGTTAACCCCCACGGAGGTGGTTGAGTTGGTGAATGCAGGGTTAAATGAGGGCAGCAGGGATTTTGGAGTCAAGGCCAGGAGCATCCTTTGCCTCATCAGGGACAACCCAGGTATATGAGATAATAATTGTAAACTAAGAATTTGCATACATCTAATTTGCATAAATGGGACAAGTGGAATGTAGTTCAAAATCAGATTCAAGTTAAAGTTAAACTTTTGATACAACACAAAGAAGTTCTCTCACCTAGAGCTATTGTTTAACTAAACTTGCTATTAACTTAACTAACCTCATCTAACTTTAAACATGTAGCTACCAACCCAGTTGAACTTTCATGATTCAGATTCAAGTTAATTTTTTACAATGCAATCCTCTGTTGTTGTTTTTTTTGGCGATGTCTCAGGGAGGAGCCTAATGGTACAGTATTGTGTGGAATTCGCAAGAATTCTAGGAATTGCACAGGCATTTTGTCCACAGGCATGCGGAATGTCCGCAGGCATGCGGAATGTCCACAGGCATTTCTCTGACCCACATCTATGCCCACATTCCTGGAACCCTGAAGACCTGTCTGCCCCAGATGGCCCTACTTTCTGTGACCCTGGGGCTTGTTCACTATACACTCAGGGGAGGAGTGTACTGTATCTGTCTAGACTTAACAGGTACCAAGTCTTTCTCAAAATCATGAAATAATGGCAGTGCCATGCAAACAATAACCCTAACAGCAGCCACCGTCACCATGACAATGTATGTTTTAATTGCCAGTCTTGTTTAAGTTTGACAATTGTCTTTCATTTGCAGAATTCTCTACGGAGATGGTTCAGCTCTGCGATAGGTTCAGGAATCAGGGCGTGGTTGGTATCGATCTCGCGGGGAACGAAGTCGGCGATCTCGCGACCAACACGGAACACGTCAAGGCCTTTCAGGTTAGGCTGGGATTTACATACAACATGTGCTCATCTAAAAACATCCATAAAGTATAGAGAGCAGAAAAGAAAAGAAAGCCAAAAGTTTCTTTCCTAGAACAACATCACTACAGTATAGAACAAGCTACCACGTGATTGTTTTCCATACGGGTATAACCTTAAACTTTTCAAGTCTAAGGTCAACAAACATCTGTCCTCACTGACTGTACAGTAACCCCAAAACATTTGAGTGGCTCTCGTGAACCTTCATTGTTTTGTTGTGAACATGAAGTAAATAAAAAAAAAGATGATTTTAGAAGATTAGACCATTATGTTACATCCGGGCAAAGTGGAATTCTGGTTAAAGATTTCTGTCTTTTTTTACAGTCAGAATGTAGCACGTTGGTAGAACTTACTGTGCATATGCACGAAACCCGTTATTGTATTGTGCACATCTCTTAGACAAAATGCCTCGTTTTAAGGTCCTATTCTTACATCCCAGTTATAGTTTTCCAAAAAAGTAATGTTGTGTCAGAAAAGGTACCATCTGCAATGGCCAAATTTATTTGCTACCTACCTTGACTAAACATTCAACAAATACCGTGAAGAATCCAGGTTTAGTGCAGGCACAGTATGTTCTGCTGACATGCTGTTAAGGCCACACCAAGTAAATTTTATGGATGAGGTCCGCGCGCGCTTTGATTTTGGCCTGTTCCTAGAAAAAAAACACAAGAAATTCCGCTTCTTGTAACTACATGTATGACCAAAGAGTCACGACAGTGCCGCAAATCGTCAGATTGATATGAAACCCGTAACGCGAAAACAGGACAGGATGACAACTGCTGGTCCACCTGATTTATTGCTATTTTGATGATGAATAAAAGACTTCTTGCTTGTTACACTGTGTCACCTCATTCAATTTGTGTCCTAACATTTGTCATCTCCTAGTATATTTCTAATCTAGGCATCTTGTTTTTTAGGGCTTTCTTGTTTTTTTTCACCCTCTCGCATTAGATTTAGGGTCTCCAAAGGACGTCATCCATAAAATTTACTTGGTGTGGCCTAAGCTTGTGTACTGGCCATACTTTATTTGCATGACAATGTTTCTGTTCCACCATATAGTACCTGTAGCAGCCCAGACAAGCCATGTGGAGTCGTGGCAGAACAAAAGGCACAAACTGTCTTTTATACATGTGCTATAAAGTCATCAAAAGCTTATTATATGAATATTATAATCATTTTTAATTGTGCGCTTTTTTACCCAACATGCTTCTGTAATCCAGGTCTTTGCTGATCATACAGTCAATGTTGCAAACCTAATTTGAAATGCCAGAAAAAAAGTGGATATAAATGGATATAGATGATGTTTAAAAAAATGTAACATGGTCTTGTATCCAGATTTTTTAAAGAAAAGTTGGTGAATTATTTGTCAATCGTAATGATATGTACGTGGTACAGCTGAAGTGACTGCAAAAACCATGAACACAAAAGTACCACAAAAAAATCGAGAAATACAGTTTTCGATAACTTAAACCTTCCCCCTGATACCTGTTCCAATACAAATCTGGTGCCAATAGTTATGTTAGCCTGCTAAATGTTAAATTATCCTTTTTGCATAATGTTACAACAAAGAAATCAGCAAAGGCACCTGACATCAGAGATATTACACAATTCAAAAGTTATTACAAACAGTAATCTACAACCCAGATGATCTTTCTCTTGACTCGATGCAACTGCCTTTATCAATTTTATATTTACCGAAGAAAAACATATTGTTTTTGCTCAGTTTCCTCTTCTCCAAACACCAAAGGTCAATGTCCTGAACCAGACAGTCTATCACCATGGTAACTAGTGTTGGGTTACATCATGTTGCAATTTTATAGCAGGAGGGATTTAGACTCCTGTCTGGCCATATATATGAATGTGTTTGAGTAAGAATAAATGGAGCAGACCATATGTGAAAGTAAACATTATGCATTTGCTTTGCAAATGTTACCTTTCTAGTTACTAAAAGTAACATTCTGTTGTCTAAAAGATGTCCTGAATGTTTTACCAGGAAGCGAAGCGGCTGGGTATCCATCGTACGGTCCATGCGGGAGAGATCGGCGGTCCCGACAAGGTGGAGGAGGCCGTGTTCAAGATGGCAGCCGAGCGCGTCGGCCACGGTTACCACACCATCGCCGATCCACAGCTGTACGCTAAACTCAGGGACATGAACATGCATTTCGAGGTAGGCTTAGGCTATGTAGTGTTTAATATATCAAATTTGGCTCATTTTGTTGGAAATTTTAAGACATCTCACGTCAATTTTAATACCTTTTTGGCCACCATGCAGGTGTGTCCAGTATCCAGTTACATCACAGGTGCAGTCCCCCCAAACTATAAGGAACACCCAGCTCTCAGGTAACTACTCAAACATAGAATGACGCCTTTCTTTCTGCTGGTTTTGTGATAAATCTCTGTAGCTATCAGCTATACTGATGTCAGACTTGACAATTTTTTTTATGAATTCAAATTATGTAACATTTGCAAAGCAAATGCATAATGTTTACCTTTGCATATGGTCTGCTCTCAATGTTAATTCTTACTCAAACACATTCATATACATGGTCAGACAGGAGTCTAAATCCCTCCTGCTATAAAATTGCAACATGATGTATTAACCCAACACTAGTTACCATGGTAACAGACAGTCTGGTTCAGGTCATTGAGGTCACTGTTTGGAGAAGAAGAGGAAATTTAGCAAAAACAATATGTTTTCCTTTCGTAAACATAAAAAGTACCTGTTTACCATTTTGCGTTTTGTTGTTTGACAGTTTCGCTAAGGACGGTGCTAACTTCTCCATCAACTCTGACGACCCGAGCGTGTTCCGGACGCACTTGTCACGGGAATATTCCCTCATCCGAGAACACTGGAACTTTGACGACAAGCTGATTGGACAATTGGTATCACAAATTTTTATTTCTTTTCATACTTATATTTTTCCACAATCTAGTTTGCATGTCATACTATTTATTTATTTCTTGTTGCTATATTTCGAGACAGTTATACACTTGCTACCAGTCCAAAAGTTGGAAAGCAAGTAACTGTTTAATTTTTAAAAATGTTTGGGTATTGTGTGTGATTTTACTGTTTATTTATATCTTGTTGCTAACATCTGTGTCCATAATATCACCAGGGTCAATAATATCGCCACCTTGAGAAACAGTGTGCTTAAAGATATTTTACTGCAACATACTGCAACTTTTGGTATGCACTCCTTCACACATCAAATGTACATACCTAAGGTATGTTGCAGTAAAAATATCTTTAAGCACACTTTTTCTCAAGGTGGCGATATTATGGACCCTGGTGATATTATGGACACAGATGTTATATATTGAGACAGTTATACACTTGCTACCAGTCCAAAAGTTGGAAAGCAAGTAACTGTTTCTTTTTAGTTTCATTTGTAAAAATGCTTGGGTATTGTGTTTATAATTCTACTGTTTGTTTATTTATTTCTTGTTGCTTTATTTTGAGACAGTTCTACACTTGCCACCAGTGCAAAAGTTTGGAAAGCATGTTAATGTTTCTTTTTAATTTCTGTGCAGAATTTGAACGCTGCTGAAGCCTGCTTCCTACCACAAGACGAGAAAAACGAACTCATCAAGCAAGTCAAGGAGGCTCATGGGATACAGTGAAGAGGATTGTGGGATAGAAAATGTTGAATTTGGCTAAATCAGGGTTTTTTGTAGCTAGCTACAGCCATAGAAACATTTTACCTCACAAACTTGTACAAACTGCTTTTTATGCAGTGAATGAGCTGAATATACTTTATCCCAGTTTACTTTTAAGATGAAAAATTAAAAAAAGTCATAATTTTACAAATGTTTAAAATGCTTTATAGATTTTAATCATCACTAATAATAAGTTTTACTGAAAGTTGCCAAAGTTGTAAGATTTTTCCTACCCAAAATTTTCCTCACACCCTAACAGGTACTATTGTATCTAATCACAGCTATGCAAAATTTTATACTCTTATATTTCTGTAATTAGAGCTTATATATGTGGAAATTCCTGCATGGATTTTGCGTAACATTATATGAACCACACCTTTATTTTATCTTGAAATATCTAAAAGAATTTTGTAACATGGCAGCTTATTGGTGTATCCAGTCCAGGATGACACAGGGTAATGACCCAAGTACTGTAAATCACTTAATATTCGCAGTAGCAAAATTTCGCGGTCTGAAGAAAATGGACAAGTTTGTACTCTCCAAGCAGAGGTTGTGGGGGAATGATCGTTAGCTTTTTTAGCTTTTTTTTCGCTGATCCCACCAATGGTAGCCGGCGACCTTCTCTGGCTAATGGATACTGCCTGGCCAATTTGATACTGTCTTTTTGCCACTGAAAGGGATCTGCTTGGAGATTACAAGTTTGCAGAACTATGTATTGGCGATGAAGGCAGGTGCACAAGAAAGAAAGTTGGCAAATTATTTGTTTGGAGTAATGATAAATTTCTCAGTGTAATGGCCAAGTAGGTAGAGTGCTCGCCTTGCATTCGGTAGGTCATGAGTTCGATCCCGGCACCACACCACTACCAGAGGACTAGCCCCCTGCTGTAGTGACACATCTGTGTGGCCCAGAGTTACAGAAACGGAGATGGGCACCGCCATATGCAACCATGGTAATGGTTGTGGGGTGGAATGATAAATTTGCGGAACAGAAGTGACCGTGAAAACCGCAAATATATAAACGTGAATATCGAGTGATTTAAAGTATATAAGTTTGTGGGGTGGCTGAGTTTGGCATAGCTTTGACGTACATGCCATAACGGCCATCCCATATAAAGTACTATATGGGTCAATTACGGTAGTGTATGTAACAGTCAAAAACCAGGGCTCTAGCCAGCACCCATTTTTCCATCAATTGCTGGAACTTTGTGGCATGTGACGGAAATTTTTTCAAACCAATCCGTCAACCTTGACGGACAGAATTGACAAAAATCATGGGTAAAAATATTAAAACATCCAAAGGACCACCAACAACCACTCTCAACCCAATGATTTGCCTCTCAAAATTTGCCTGCGGTTCGATCATGAACCTTGGGCAATGGAAAAAGATTTTGAACTGGCTAGAGCCCTGGTCAAAACTGGCTGAGAAGACTCAAAGGACTGATAAAATCTGGTCTATGTGGACAGGTGGTCACTCAAGAGAATGTGTCAATGGGAAAAATTATCTTAGGGACCGCCAAAAGTGGTCACTTTGGCCAGGTGGTCCTTATGTAAAGGTGCTTACTTTTACGGGTTTTACTGTCACAAACTTTTATAGTTTTACACATTTCATGCAACAGTGTTTTTAGTTCATCCAGTAGCTTTTTAGTCATTGGAAAACTTTCTACCTCAGTTTTTCCAAACTGTCTTGTGCCTTCATAATTGTCGCAATTACTAGTATACACTTACCTTACGCACTTATGGCCACACCAATTTAATTTGTTGGTTCTCGGATTCGCCTCTTCATTTTTTTCTGATTTGCAAAAAAAAAGATTCTGGTTCTGAATCAACTCAAAAATGCTCATATTTTGCCCCCAACAGTTGAGGAAATTCCTTTTCTTCCTAGTTGTTACAGTTTTTTCCATCTATCAATGCAGTGGTTTGATTAAAAGTTCAAAATTTATACTTTAAATTTTAACCCAGCCTTTTTTGTTGACTTCATGGCTCGTATTGTAGCATTTGGGGCTATAATAGGATGCCTAGACCTGTTTTTATTTTTTTTTTTTCGCCCTGTCGCTTCATATTTTTTCTGAAAAAATCCGAGAACCAACAAATTAAATTGGTATGGCCTATTCACATAATATTATGCACTCTTGCCACACAAGTCATAGTTTAAGCTCTGTGCAAGACGTGTGGTAGACGCCAAGTTGCCTAGTGCGCAAGTCTCACCTTTGATATGGTGATTTCTTTTGTATATAATTTACAAGGCGACCTTTTTAAAGTTTACATTGGGTAAAGCCTGGGTGCCATCTGACTTGTAACGGCAGCCCCCAAAAAATTGGGGTTGTCTTTACAAATCGGATGGCACCCAGGCTAGTTCAGCTTATGGCTTCAGAAATAAACTGTGGCCCACCTTGGCCAGCTTAAGGCTTAACTCTTCTGAAATAAACAGGCAGTGTTGACGACAACCAAGTTCTTAAAGTTAAATATTGATGGGCAACCAAGCTTTACGCACTGGTCATCCTGACAAAGTAGTTCACACCCCTCTAACATCTGTGTCCATATCACCAGGGTCCTTGATATCGCCACCTTGAGAAACAGCGTGCTTAAAGATATTTTTACTGCAACATACTTTTGGTATGCACTCCTGCACACCTCAAATGTACATACCTAGGGTATGTCGCAGTAAAAATATCTTTAAGCACACTTTTTCTCAAGGTGGCGATATTATGGACCCTGGTGATATTATGGATACGGATGTTATAGCTTTTGTCAGTTTTGTGATGTTTTGTCAATGCACTGATGTATCTTTTTCATATCCAGATGAAATAAAAGACAATGAAATTCTTGTGCCTTGAGTGTGTACATGGTCATTTTCAAATTTCTTTTTGACAACTTCACATTTATTATGCAAAGTCCAACTACATGTAATTATTATTCAGAAATACCGGTAATAATACTCAATGTTCTGACATAACAGAATATTTTCACATTTACAGTACTCAGTATATACAATGTGAAGTTATCCAAGAATGAACCACTTTTTGGGGGTTCCTTTTCTGTACTTTCCTGTTTTCTTTCGTGGTAGAGAGAAGTATGAAAAGTTTATCTACAAAAATATGATATTAAGTCACTCTTGGGTGTATTACAAGCCAAATATTACGAAAATAACGTCAAATGACAGGAATGTAAAAACATGAACAACTTTATTTTACCTGAATAGCAAAATGTAATAGCCCAAAGCCCGATGACCAATCACCATCCATGTTCTAGTGTCGTCATCTTTAGTACAAACTTTTGTGCCACACTCCAGATTGAGGTGAGAATTTCCTTACTAACTCCCGTAGAATTTCACGTTTTATCCATTTGTTATCTCGTATACCATACGTAGAACACTCTAATGTATATCCTTGCTTACTTTTAGGATATTTCTGACAGACTTTTAAGTTTTACCAGTTTTTTTAGGGGTATTGCGTTCCTTCAACAACGTTCGTCAAAATATATAACTCTTACTTCATAAAGACAAAGTGTGCAGCATGCAAAAGTTATTTCTTGAAATTTCCAGTCAGAAATCCTTGAAACGAAAGTGCATGGCTGTTTTCCTGTGTTTTAAGGAATCTTTCAGAAAAAAAAAAAAACTTACGTAGCGCTGACAGGCATCGTACCCGTTGCGTAGCGTACAACCTCATGTTTTCGGTGGAATTTAGCGAAGCCTCCGCCTAGATGGAGTCGGGCTCTCGGTGCCTTCCTTTCCCGAGAAGAAATTACGGACAAGCCCAAACATTCTTCTTGAGAACATTCAGCAATTTTATTTTGTTTTAACTTTTAAATTTTTTGGTCTGTTATATGACATAATGAATTTATGACAGGAAGGGTGGTAAGTTTTCTAGTTCTTTTCTTTCGAACTGGAAAAATTCAGAACTTTTACTTGCAGCTTAGCAGCGCCGCCTAGATCATTAACAAGGAACTGCAGAACAAATTGACCGAATGCTGACTTATACAAGAAAGTTATAAACCACTTAAATCTCCTTGATTAACAGAAATGATATAATATTTAGCAAATATAATACCACCTTTGCCAGTCATGTGGTGCCTACAATTGTCGCTGCCTTGTGATATAAGTCGTCAACATACAGATGAAAAAAAAATACCGGGTACTTGTAACCTAGTTGTCAGCCTTCTTTTATAAAATTTTAAGATTAATATTGTGTAATGTAAAATATAATGATGATGTATGGTAAAGAAAACATTAAAAACATCAGAGGCAAGAAATTTTGACAGGGTGCGTTTATTAACAAGTGGTTGATCAACAGATGAAAAATGACACAATCATCAGTACAATAACTACTGAACAATCTTACACAAACATTTATGTACTACATAATTCTAATTAATCCTCCACTTGCCACTGATATATGTACAGAGAGTTGAAGGAATCTTGGGTAACCAGTTGGTAAAGTATATCAGGAAAAGGGTAAAACAAAGGATGGTGGGAAGGACTGTCAAGCACGTACCATATCATGGTAAGAGCTATCCAAAATTAGCATACATGTTCAAAACTGACTGTCAACGTCCTTAAAATTGAGTTTTAATAAATGCTCAAATGGCCGTGCAAGTTCATCTGTTCACATTAACTGAAGGTCCTGTATTGAAAAATACAAATATTACTTAGGATTCCAAGGATTTCAGAGGTTATTTTCTGGTGTAAAAGCATTGTGTGCATGGAATCCACAAATACAGAAAGGCTCACACCAAAATTAGTCTATATACTTTGCAATGGCTTAGACAAATACTGTTAGTTACAATTCTTACACATTTAAGTAACTCTACCGTATGTTTATGGCTATCTGTAAAGCTACATGTATGTACACAAAACTATGGCTATTTTCCTTTTTGAATCTATAATGTACAGTAAAATCTTCTTGAGTACCATAATTATTACGAAAAACTTCAAGTTACAATAAATGGCTAAATGGCAAAAAATGTGCAAGTCATGTAGTTAAAATGCCCCAAAAGACCTCTTGTCTATGTGGACAGGTGGTCACTATAGACAGGATGTGTCAAAGGGAAATTATCAAAGTGACCAATAAATGTTGGCCAGATGGTCTTAATGTAAAAGATTATGCCTACTTTCCACCAATGAATGAGCATAAAATATGCAACACCTGTATATACAAACTGTGATTGGCTAAAGCTTGACCAATCAGAAAAAATAAAACGATGAGTGAACTCAGAATCTAATTGGCAATCTTAGATTCATCAAATTGATGATCAATGTCAACTTTCAATGCAAAGTTTTTACAAATCTGTGCAAAAAAAAGATAAAAGGCTCTTCTTTCAAGAATTCTTCATTTCAAGTAAGATCAGCTCCATTGCTTGTCAATCATTCATATTTCTTTACCATCCAAGGACTTTCCTTATTTAGCACAAGTAAGGAAAATTTCTTCTTGAAACAAATGCAAGAAGCTCAATTTCACTGAAGTTGTGCTCATAGTGGGTTACCCAGTTTTTGAATCTCAAATTTTTGGTGAGTTGATATCTTTTCATTGAGTTCTTCTGCAAAGTAAACTAAAACAATCAAATCATAACCAATGTACATAAACCCTGCAGTTCTCCATTTGACTGATAGAGGGAGCAAATGTACAGCCATTGAAATTTTAAATCCAGTTTGTACAGTTTGCTATCATAACTTACAATGATACTGGCAATGCAAAAAAAAATATGGCTATACCTATTATTAATATAAACTTCTGGGGCAAGAATTGTACTTCCAGAGTTACTTTCAACTTCGTAACATTTTCACATCACCTTAAATTATGTACATTACAGTACAGTACAGTGTAAGACCAATTGGTAACACAGAGTAAGTTGTGCACAACAACAAAGGCAAGATGTTCAGTCATATTCACTTGGCCTGGCATGAAAAAAAAAACAACCGATTTTTCACTGATGTCTACCAGTTGTCTACCATGTATAATTCGTTTCAACACCAAGGGTGACCAGACTGTATTTTTGTACAAAAGGTGGATTTTCACAATTTCACTCCAAAATAATTTCTTCTATGTCTTTTATCACTCCATATATATGTACAAAGATAGTTAAAACCTTTTCATCTTGCTTTATCATCCAACAAACTGTTGTCTTCCGAAATCAGGACTTTTTCACATACCTCTTTGCGTATGTGTGTATTGCATCGTGGGTACATTACGTAATGTGGCTTGGATGGTTACACCGTAGTTGCCATGGGAACAAACCTATCGTGGCGGACTTTACGCCCCTTCCTCGGCGAGCTGCTCTTCGGTTTTATTCGCCTCCGGTCCGCCTGCCTTGTTGTTGAGCTCCTCTTGCTCCACCGCTTGTGGCGAGGGATTTCGTTCCGGACTTGCGGCCTTCTCCGGAGAGTTCGCTCTATCCGGGGTCGTGGGTTTCGAGGTGGGTGGGTTAGTGGGGGATGGGGATTTCGTGGGTGTGTTTGGGACGTCCCTCGTGGGTGATTTACTCGGAGAAGGGGAGTTTCGTTTGCTTTGGGACGAGGGGTTACGTTCATTCGGGGGCGGGGAGTTATTGTCGTTAGGGGGTGGGGAGTTACGGTCACTTGGGGGTGGGGTGTTTTCGTGGTTTAGGGGCGGGGAGGTACG